CCAGCTCAACGTTTACCCTCACATGTGAAAATGACTGCAAACAGATGTTTGAAAAGCAGAAATAGAGCCTCCTGCTCAACTGGTTAGGATGCAGCAAGTGGTTTCTGGATGGAAAGTCAGAAACCACTGACTCATTTTTTTTCCCCCAGCAGTCATTGTACGGTGCGGCGCATACAGCTGTGAAACCAGCTGACCAAACGTGCTGGAACTCCGCTTGGGTTGCTAGGTAACGCGTCTGGGCTCGACTGCTAGGTAATGGTGGAGCGTGACAATGTTTGGGAGGATTTTGAAACGGCTCCATTTCCAGACGCCAAAAAATATGAATTTATTGCCCAAAAAAACGATGCGAGTTATTTTCAAGCATTTGGGTTGTTTTAAGAAGCAGTGGAGACACAAAAACATACAAAATGTTTATGAAATGAAAAAGGCTTGTTCCACTGATTACAAGACATGTAAGTGAAAAAATTAACACTAAGGCATTACTGATTTAAAACAACCTCATATAGAATATTTTTATTATTTCAAGCACCAGAAAAGAAAAATACTTGATAAGATTTAGTTTCTTGAAGTGAAAATATAGCGTGAATCCCTATTTTACCCTGATTTATATCTCCAAATCGCAGTTTTTGATATGAAAATCTGTAATGAATGATTACATTAAATGAGCTCGATATACTGAGGAGATCTGGGCTCAGAAAAAGTCAGGGTTGCTGTAAGCCGGACGTCAAGATATGTTGTAAAGATGGAGAACTGCCGATAAAGAGATCCAGAGGAAGGTCTGCAGGGAAGAAACAGCAGATAAGAGAGAGATGTGAAAGACAGACGAATCGTGGGACGAAGACCGGTCCTGTCAGCAACGGGACAGAGGTACGACAAATACTGGAACAAGGAAACGGACAAAGCGTTGAAATATTTGAAGTAAAACGTTAAACAAAGTGGAGCTGAACAAGACGGTGACACGAAGCAGATGGAGATAAGACGGGATGACGGAGGGAAAGCTGGAAAATAGGTGAAAGGAGCCATAAATCAAAGCAGACACATAATGGAGACGTTATAAAACATGTAGGGGAAATATGAGGGTTGGTTCTCCAAACAGAACCAGATTGGAACAAAAAGTGTCTAATTGAAGGATGATGGATGGAGCCAGCAGGAAGGACTTGGAGTTAAAACTTAACACCCTGTAGAAACAGCTACCCATAAATCAGCTTAACTTATCCATGTCGTTTACATATGAGCAGTGAAATGTCAGAATCGCTGCAGATTTATCCGGCAGAAACTCACCGCAGCTCCCCTCCACCAATTCAACGTTTTCTGAAGATGTAGGAGAAAGTACACACAAGTGGTCAGAGCCAAATCTGAAGTTTATGTCTTTAAAATCTGTGGAGCCACAGCGCTTTGCAAAAGCATTCACACAGCTGCAGCTTTTCCCACATTCTCTCCGTCAAGCTGCAGCCAGAAACCTCAGCGTATTTTACAAGATCCAACAACCTGAAGAAGCAGAAAGAGAAAATACAATCTGGAAAGTGAGGCTTGCTGTAGATAAATGCAATATCACCTTTAAGACCCATTCTCACTTTTAAAAAAACTAGTTTTGACATTTTTGTGTTGCAGAATCTGAAAGCAAAAGTGTCGGAACACTCTGCTTCCGACATTTGCAGTAAGACAAAGAGCGGAGCAGCAAAAAATAAAGCTGCACCGGAGAGTTTAATATTTTGGGCGCCTCTATTCAGAGAAATGGGTTTCCATCCAGAATATCTTTGTCGTCTGTGTGAAGGCGCATTAGCTGCTCTCATTAATAATCGCTGCTGTTGCCCTGTCCTCTTTCTTATTCTCCAGCCTCCTGGGGAGCCCAGAGGCTGAATTAAAGCTTCACTCTGGGATCGATGAAATGACGACTCTCAGAAACATTCAGGAACAGCCCAGGCGATTTGGGCGAAAGAAAACAAAGTTTGCAGAAAGAGAGGCAGAAAAGAACAGTTTGATTGACAAGTTTATGGACAGTCAGCGGATAAAAAGCTGCTTTAGTTTTGAGCGCAACCAAAGCAACATACAATTACATCATTTGACTGCCTGGCTCTGAATTCCCAGATTTCCCAGCAGTTCGCCTCGGTGGTCTGGGCGTTCTGCGGCTTTGACCGAGCCGCGTTCCCGCTACTGGAACAAGAATAGTAGCCACTCTAACCCGGCTCAGTCATGCCAGCATTACCATAAATCAAAAGCAGTAATCAGGGAACAGGCAAACACTGTCACAGAGCTGCCATTAGCTCTGAGATGTGTCGTTGTAATAACTCTCTGCGGTGTGGAGGTTTGATGTCAGGCTCAGTTACATGTCCTCATCTCAAGTCTTTCACCCACGTCAGACGATGTGACTAATAACATGTTTTTATTTGATCTTTTGCAGACAAGTCAGCTGATTAATAAACACAAATAAACATAACGAGATGTTTTTCTTGTTCTGCTAATAGTGTAGCTGAGACAGGAGGAGAGGAAGCCATAAATCCTCCTGTAAATTTAACATTTTGTCTTTTAAAGTATTTGTGACCTTTTCAACAGTGAGTAAATCAGCCAAGGTTGTTATTTAAGAAGATGGAAGACACATTAGGCAGCAATAAATACACAATACTATTGTTAGTAGAGACGGGACTGAAAGACGGACGTTCGGTCGGATGGATTCTTTAAAATCTGTTATTAGTTTGTTATTGCCTTTTGCAGATAAAATTAGTGTTTTTCTGTCTGGTTACATCATATTAAATCGTTCTGACCCATTAGCACTCATCTGGCTTTTTTAATCTGACAAACATAATTGCTTATATACAAACGTTTCATCTTTGTAAAATATGTAGAAGTAGTGCTGCGTGAGTATAATGTTTCTACCTCTCTGTAACATTGATGCAAAAATCAACTGAAATTATGTATAAAAAATACCAACAATGATCATTTGTCATTAATTTTGTTTGACCCACGTTCAAAGAAACCAACAAATCATCCATTCTGCAGCAGAAACTCATATCATCCAGCTAAATGATAAATACTATTATCATTTAGCAGCCATTGTTGTGTAAAATCTCCTCTCCTCTCTATGAAAGGATCCAAGACGTAATCATCTCTCTGTCTGCTAAACAGTGTCACAGCTGCCCCTCCGGCGACAAATGGCCCATTATCTCATTCCCACAAACACACACGTGTAGCACATCAGGACAAAATGAGAATTTAAAGCTCTGTGTCCACATGCTGAGACGCGTGTCGACTGACGGGGTGACGTGATCGCTGGCCCAGATATCAACACAATCCGAAACATGCACACTCAACATAGTGAAAGGATTTATCGACGGGTCGTAGCACACATGCCGACTGGACAAACAGACAAAGTTTGGGTGTGAGGAGGAAGATTGGGTTAATTGGACTGGACTTCCTCGGCAGATACCACTTCAAACCAAACTCAGGTTGAATATTGTGTCATAATATTGACCATATGATCACTTCATAACTTTTATCTGAGAGAGGAAGTCTGCAGGAAACAGCTATAACGTCACTTCTTCCATCATCTGCATTTAATTTGAGCAGTTTTTCATATCTGATTTACAAAACAACTATTTAAAAAGTTGAATGTAACTTTCAGAATTTTTTTTTACATATTTGTTGGATTTGTTACCTTGTAGTGACAGAATATGATAAAATAGATAATGTGTGAAGAAAAATAAAGCTTCTCTGCTTTCTCCTCATGCTACCAAGAAACAACCAATCAGAGCCAGGAGGCGGCTCTTGGTGTTGTCAATCCTTCCTGTGTGGCACTTTTCACTAAAATGAGCTAGAATGTCCACCAGTGATGGCAGATAAATTCCCGTAACAGTTAGTTGCTTTTCCGCCACTCGCATATTTAGCATCTCATTTATGAGTTTGATTGACAGCGCTAACACCCGCCTCCTGGCTCTGATTGGTTGTTTTTGGTCATTTCTTCAGACAACAATTGGAACTCCAGGAGGAGGAGGAGACTAATCTGTTCACAGATTATCTGTCTCATACTGTCACAAGATGGTGATTACTTTAACTAAAAAAAACAAAACAAAACAAAAAACACTTTTCTTCTTCTTTAAGGAGTAACTTTTTTTAAGGGGGAAAGAGAAAAAAAAATCACTGGATGACTTAATGGAATTTAAAAATATAAAATGTAATTTTCCAACATTTCATCCAATCCAAATGCTGAAAATGCATTTTTACATGCAAAAGTCAGACCACCATTTACTTTTACCTATTCCTGAAAGTAAATTAAAATTTTGTTCAGTTTGCAATGATTAAATGATAAATTTAGAACCTGGTATTACGGCAAAGGTGCTTTCTCCATCTAATCAAAGTGAATAAAATAAACAACAAAACCAAAACTAATTCCTTACAATGAACTCAAAATTACCCCAGTCATGATTAAGAACATCTGCAATACTGTAGAACATAATCGCAACTAAAATCTGGAAACGCAACATCCTACCAGCCTGCTGCTTATTGCATCCGACCAATTAGCTAAATGCCCAAAATGTCAAATCTAATATAACGGTACTAATGGAGACACAAACGCAGCCAACCAAAGATATGAAGGGGAGGATGGATGTGCGGAAGTGGTGATGATGGAGTGAAAGAGAGACGAGACAGATAAAGACCACAACGACATCGGGGAGCCGGCAGCAGGAAAGAGAAGAAGACAAACACGAAACCCACCACAAATTGAACAGGCCAATTTTTAATGGAGCTAATGGACAGGAAAACCACAAAATGAGACTTTATAGGAGCTCAGAGGAGGAGAAGCAGCTAAAAAACATAAAAGAGAGGAACTCGGTCTATTTTCCCATACAGCCGTGTTAAAGTGGACAAGTAAATGTTGTCGCTCATATTAGGGCATTAAAAACACATCGAGGTCCATTTCTGTTTCCTCGGATAGCAAAAAAAAAAATCATTTTCTCTTCAATTTCAAACGAACATTTGAGGGTTTTTCTCTGCATTTGTCTTACCTGTACGCCCCCGGCTGTCCACGTCAAGTAAAACCCATTTTCGTCGACTTTCAGGGTCCCCAGGACGGGAAAAGCGTTGTATTCCTAGACGACAGAAAACGAGACGTTAAAGCAAAACAAAACACGATGACATCTCCTGGTTCAGCAAATTTAAAAGGTTTGTTTTAGGTTGTGGATGCCATTTCTTTTACTGTTACTTCATTTAGAGAATTGAGTTTTAGAATTTATTTTTTTTTATAGAGGAAAACTGTGCATTACTTTTGCATCTCTAATATTTGAGTAGCGGTCATAACACATCGGCTCATTTTCCGAACAGATTGTAGTTGCTCAACCTGATAACATAAGACGATCAGAAAACTAAAGCACAGCTAAAGGCTTAACAAAACATTGCATTATGTACGTAAATTTTAGGGGATTTAGTTTAGTTATTGGTAAAATGAATAAACATCGAATAGCTGGTGCTCATAAGTCCTGGTTGAAGCAGCGTCTGACTCCATACGTTTCTATACGTTTATCAGTTAACAGAACTTGAATTAATTTATTTTTTCTCAAAATTCTACACACAAACACCTTAACATGATTTTGAAAAATGTTTGAGATTTTTGCAATTCTATTAACAATAGAAAACCAAGAAAAGGCAGTTATACCAAATACTGAAGGAATGAATGAAGACATTTTTTAGATTTTTTTTTGCAAAGCAAATTTAGAAAAGTAAAGAGAAATCACACTGATGGCCAGACAGTAAATTTTACGATCTGATTCACCGAAGCACAATTAATTTATCAATCAAAATTTTGTTTGATTGTTTTAATGTGGGTTGAATTGGCAGGTTGGTCTTTGGTGACCTTTGCTGTTTTTATAAATTATCTTAAAAATAAAGACAGAAACAAAAAAAAAAGTTGCTGCAGAAACGCAGCAGAGTTTATGGACACCATGTTTTGTTTTCTTCTGTAAATGTGAACAGGCATTTTGATCTTTGGTGACCTTTGGAAATGTTCATTAATAAATTTTAAAAGATAGCAGCACAATTTGTGCTGCACAAACATTTTTGTTTAATTTGAAGGTCAATGTGGGGAGCAACTGACTGACATTTAAACCAACAGAAGCATAAACATTCATTTATTTCTAACAAGTAAGAGAGAGAAATATCAATCTTATCGCTATTTGTTGCTGAGGAATCAAGTTAAATTAAACAAAACAGCAATTTGATGGATAAAATAGTGACAGAAACGACACGTGGAGCGGCGGTGACATCGGGTTGCGGTGCCATGTTTACGTTTGTTCTGGTGCTCGGCCGGCTTGAAGGTCTCATTCATATTCAGCATAATGACGGCACAGGAACCCAAATCAACATGTCAATGGCATCATCATTATGGAGTCATACAACACAGACACACACACAGAGAGAGAGGCAGACTCTGGCTCATCAGCTACACTCAGACAATAATACAGAGACCAGACGTGGCGGAAAACAGCGACGACACAGATTGTTTTTAAAGTGACGGATGTCTCAGGGACACCAGTCACTACTACTACTACTCCTGCAGCATGAAGAAGGTCAAGAAGTTGCTTCTCCAGACATTTTTTAGTGTCTTAAGTTCCGTTACGCTGCTCTTGGCAGTTGGTGGTTACCGTAGCAACCGGTCACCGACAGCTCCTCCCCCTCTCGCCCCCCCACCTCTCTGTTAACCGTTGGGCAGAAGCTTCCGGATTGCAGTGAGCCGCCATCTTGATTTCGTCCCTTGTCAGAATAAATACCGAGTGTGTCTGCCGCCAAACGGTCGACCCACTCCGGGTTCTGGAAGGGTCTTACAAGCAGCTCGACGAAGGGCAGCAGCAATGGTGGAAATTTAACAAAGTATAATCTGGGCTAGCTAAACGTTAGCTACTCTAGCGTGAAAATCACAAAATAATTTCATCAAATCAAACTGAGAATGCAGCAAAAACAAACCGCATCTTTATACGACTCTAAAATTACTATTTATAATAGTAATACCAGTGTCAAGCTGAGCCAAGGTTTTAGCCAGTCACTCTCAATATAAAGCCAGTAATAAAACCTTAAGTGCTCTATAATTATTAGCTATTATGACTAAGAACGTACCTTCACTTTAGGCTCCAAGGGTGGCTAAAGATAAAACAGGGCAAAGGTTTGAATTGGCAGGAGGATGAGAGAAAGAGGGAGGATGAAAACCAGGTGGGAACGATGGAAAGGAGGATGGGAGGGAGAAGAAAAGGGTTGAAAAAGAAGAAACCAAGTCAGAAAAACAGAATAAAACCTGATGGGACATCTCAGTTCAATGTGAATGAACTAAAATAGTTTCATATTTGTACATCAGTCCTAAATTGATAATCCCCTTAATGTTGTTTAGCAGTATAATTGGATGGCTTAAAGAGCACAAATAATCATGGTTTAGAGCCAGAAAACCTTAAAATATAAAACATAAACTATCAAACATGAATATTTTAACGCTGAAGACTAATTTAAAACCTTAGTTTCGCCTATGGCTGAGTTCCATCCCCACCCTAAGCAGGAATGTACTCGCATATATTGATGATCTTGTGGTGTCTTCAATCATATCATCTTGAAATTTCACACGATCACCGATTGCTTTCTTGGCAAAAACAGACCAATTAAGCACTTAACCACAAAAATATGTCTTTATATGACACCCTAGTATTATGTAAATATGGAGGACTTTTCACTCTATCCACACAATTTTTAAGTGTTTGTGTCAATTTATATCATATGTGGATTTAACTTGAAGTGTGTTCTTGGCAATGTTTTGATTGCTGCATTGTGATCCTCATAATCACTGCATGCCATTTAAACATTTTAAAAACTATTCCAGATGCACCAAAGTGCTTCACAGGTGGCATATAAACAAGTCTAGCATGATGAATTACAAGTAAGTGGGTCAAAAATAAAACAGAAATAGCTTTAAAAGCGTAGTATAAAAGCCGTCTGGGAACTGAAACAATACACAAGGAATCCTACCAGTAAAAACCAGTTCTTCACACTAAACCAGTGCAGAAAGTCTGTTTGAAGAGATTTGTTTTCAGAATCTTTTTAATTGTTCAGATACCTGAGCAGACGATGAAACAGCAACAGAAAAGGATATATAAGGCATCTTGGCCACGCAGTTCTTTAGATAAATATGCATCAGAGTAATAATGCTGGTCAGAACTGGAGCAGACGCCAGAATGTAAAAGGTTAAAATTAGTTTTTGCTGGCAGTGATCATTCTCCACTGTGTTAAATTTAATTTTATAAACATAGAAACTACAAGCATGAAAATAATTGAACAGAAATAGTTTTATTGCTGGGAAATAGAATCGACTTCATCGACAAATCAAAATTTTGGCTTTTAAAGATTTAATTTTTGGAAAATCCGGACTTTCCTTGGGTTTCAATAGCTCAGAGTGATGTCAACGCGCTCACGGCAGCCGTCTTGGTTAACAAGTGTGTTTTACAGCTTCTATTTATTTGGACTTTGAAATCAGGTCAACTCTGACACAATATTAGGGCCAAGCTATAATTTTACAATGTCATAAAATCACAAGAACACCGTCATAATATTTGGAGAATGACGTAGTAATTTTATGAAAACTAAAACACAAGAAATAAAATGAGAAATGTTGAGCATCTTGTGACGTTATATTTTGGTACAAGTTTTTCAACTAAGGAAATATTTAATCTTTTAACACACCATGAACAAATTAATATCAGTAGAAGGATTTTGATTCAATTAAACAAACAAAGGAGTCTATTTAAAAGAAGAAACACAAACACAGGGTCACACAAACTGAGCTGCTAACGTGAAATCATAACTAAGCTTTTTTTCATTAAGACCCTTTTCCACTAAGTTTTAATTTTGTGTCTTTATTCTGCTGATATTGTGATTGTACTTTTGTAATTAAGCTAAAAATTTTGTGGCCCGCATCCAGTAGTCATATAACACTCAGACAGGATGGTTGAAAAGCCAATTAATGTAATTTTTATTTTAAGAAAGAAAGAAAGGAAAAGAAAAAAGTCCATAAAAATGCACTAAAAAGTTGTAAATGCGTTTTTTTCTTGTAACAGAGTCCTGAGTTAGAAGAGCAATAAGGATGACCTCGGCGATTTTACAAAACATCATAAAGCCGCACTAAGCAGCAATAATTTTTCTCTTTAAAAAAAGCAAATCATTTGCTACAAACAAGACATCAAATCTCCTTCTGGAGCAAAAACCAGAAGGAAATTCTGGTCTGTCTTCACATAACCCCCCTGACAGAGTAACATGAGCATAACTGGGATGAAAGGTGAACTCTGCTCTATAAATGACTGAACTCCTGACCTCGGTTTAGTCACTGGGACAACCGGGGAGCCATTCGGTCCCAAATGTGCTGCTGTGATTACCATCTTAAGGCTCTGACCTCATGTCAGAGGCTCCCTTCAGACGGCCAGGGGATCCCGAAAACGTTGGAGCGGCGCTCCTCTTTGAGTGACTCACCGCCATGTTTGTTTATCTTTTTGCATGCTGAGCTAAAAAGACAACATAACTGAGCTAAACGCATTCCTCGCTGTCCAGAGTGACTCAACGTCATCAATACTGACAGAACCTGGCTTTCTATTAAATGCATGTGCAGGAAATCAAAATGCTTCACTTGGACACTGACAGCAAATTGGAGTATTACAAGAAAAATGTAACTTTAATCCAATTTGAGTTTAGAGTAATGTGAGACAGATTTACTTTCCCAAAATAAAACCGCTTTTTATTCAGCTTAAACTGCAGATTGTAGATCTGTGATAACACTTTTGTCATCAAAAATATTTTAAACAACGGCGCAGCGACTCCTCGATTGGCTTCAAAGTTGGAGAAATATATTTTTTAACATAAAAAGATGATGTGAGCAGAAACAATGCAGCACAAAAGCAGCACAGAGATTTAAAACTGTAAGTAACAGAGATAGTCCAGAAGAGGCGGTTTGCAACATTTGTTACATTTTCAGCTGCTGCAGTTCACTTTCATACTGCACTGTGCCAAACTATTGAAAACTCTTTTTCCCTTCCTGGCCTGCGGTGGCGGTGCACCAGGAACCCCTGAA